CACTTTATAGAATCTGAAAAGGCGGGGGGGGGGGGGGGGGGGGGGGACAAAAGGGAGGGGAGGCGGAAAGGGGAACCCAACAACAATACATCATGAGGAAGCATATATCAAAAATGTTTATGTTTCTCCAGGGTAAGAGAAAAGTACCCATTGGCAGACAGTGTGACCATGGGGTAAGTAAGGTAACTCCTTAGAGTTTCCTCCCATGTAAAATTGAAATGCTGCTGCACTACTTAACTCACCTTAGTGCTGGGGCGAAATATGCTTTGTAAAAGTGCTTTACAAGTGGCAGCTCTTTTGTTTCATGGGCCCAGGCCGGGGTTGGGGGTGGAGGGGAGGAACAAAAGGAAGGCTTGCCTGAATGTCTTCCCTTTCTGTTCCCCAGGGATCGAGCCCAAGGGTAAGAATAGAGCTGCAGCTCAGCCTAGCAGCTCCTGCCAACCAGCGACTCAAATCCTCCAGGCAGAATGGGAAATAAGGATCAGGTAACATCCCTCTCCACCCCACTCCCTTATCCCTCATCCCTAACCCTCCTCATACTGAAATATTTAAATCTCCCCTGGGTGAGAGAAAAAGCCTGGCTCCGTATATATTCCTTTTCTCTGATCTTAAAGTCAATGTCCTTCCGTAGTAAAGGTTTAGAACACACAAGGAATCCTGTAGGGCGCCTCTATCTGTTTCAGTCGTAATTGCTTAACACCTACGTTACCTGCCATCTCCAGCTTCTGTGTCAGACATGGAATAGTGGTTTCAGCAAGAGGAAGCTTTTTCTAATGATGTTTTCCTTCTGGGTGTGAGAGTCTGGTTTCCTAGAATGAATACTGGATGTGGAGTCAGGAAAGACCTACATTTGAATCCTGCCCCTAACATCTGTAAAATGGGGGGAAAAGAAAGCAAGCATTTATTAAGGGCCTATTATGTGCTGGGCACTTTGTAAATACTATCTCATTTGGTCCCCACAATAACCCTGAGGCATAAGTACTCTTTACGATTGAGGAAACTGAGGCAAATTGAGGTTAAGTGATTCACCCAGGTTCACACAACTAGTAAGTATGTGAGGCTGAATTCTTCTTGACTTCAAGACCAATGCTCTATCCACAGAGTTCCCTAGCTACCTCTGGGGATCATAATATCTGTTGTACTTACCTTACAGGGTTCTCTGAAGATTAAGTGAGCTCATGTTTACCAAGATCACTTTGTAAACTGTGGAGGAGCACTGCCAGTCTACAGATAAGATCGTTATCGTAGAATCACAAAACAGTCCAGTTGGAAAGGACCTTAGGAGATCGTGTAGACTGATTTTCTC